GTTCTTAAGTCCCAATACTTTCACTTACGACTAACCAGTTTTCTTTCCCTGATCTTGCCCAGGAAGTCTTACTTCGTGCTGTGACAAATGATGCTGTTTCCTTTCCTCTCTCTTCCGTGGCTCATCTCTTCACCTTTCTTTACCTTCCATGGCGTTTTGGCTGGCCACTTTTCCCCTTCTTATCTCCTTGGATCTTCAAGCCTCCTTTAGTTTACCTTCAAACAAACCAAGCCATATTTTCCATATTCCCATATTTTCCTTGCACCTTGCTTGGTTTGTAAGAACTTTTCCATCATTAATATGGCATTTTCTCTTCTTCACATAATAGGAAGAAAAGCCCAATCACAACTTAAGACCAAGGTTCAGTCACGTTAGAAGCATCTCGTACACTGTGGCTTTATGCTGAATTTGCTCTCTAATGCTTTGGGTGCAAATCTCAGCTCTGCCATATTGTCACTCTGCAGTCACTGACAATCACATAATTTCTGTGAGCCTCAGTTCCTGCTTCCAATGTAGAGATGATGATGAGTATCGTAGCTTTGAAATCAGGTAATGCGTGTGAAGGCAGTTAGCACAGTTCTTGGTACAATGTAGCTACTAAGTGTTTTGTCATTTTCCTGTTCAGCCCCCCTCCCCCATCCACCCATCCATTCATCCATGGTGAAGCAGGCTAAAGTGGTTTCATAGCCACTTCCCCAGAGGAATGAATTTTGAAAAGAAAAAATATATCCAGTTCTTGCCATGGGCCAAACACTGTTCTAGGACCTCATACCTGTAAAGGTAATGCTGGTATTCTCCTGTTGCCATGAGAGTGTTCTGTTGGAGGAGGGAAGGCCAGTTGACTTTGTGCAGCTCTTCCTAAACCCTTTCTTATGGCAGCAGTGATGTTGATATTGGCTGTAACTGCCCCAAGTCCAGGTGAGGCCTGAATGTGACTGACGCAAAGAGTGCCAGAGTGGAACAAGAGCAGTCCCTGCTGCTGTTCTGACCTTGGACAGCTTGGGTGGCGATTTGCTCTTTGTGTTGCCAGTCCTGTTGCTATTTTAGTTTCCATTTTATGTGTGTTTCTCCTTTCTTCTTGCCATCTTTTCTTTCCTTAAACTCTACACATAGCATATTGAGTCAGCTTTCAAGATCTAGAATCGAGTCATCGTGCTCCTACCTAAGGGGAACGTAGCGAAGTTAGAAAAAGCAGTGGATTGGGGACCGATGGGTGTGGCTCTAGCCCTGCCTTGGCTTCTCTTTGTGCTAATTACAAAGTCATTTAACCACATCTCTAAGATAAGAGGTATAGAGGAGAAAATCTTTAAGTTTCCTTTAAGGGCTGGTTTGTGATTCTGATAGCTCTCTTTGGGGTATCCTCAGTTTATAACAATCGAATAAATGCTCTCACAATGTTGTTTCTTGATTCTCATGATAGCCTTATGCAGATTACAAAATATAAGATGAAGAGAGAGTAGAACCCCAGCAGTGTCCTATTTGTGAAAAGGGAGGTTGACTGTGCGATATCTAGGTTGGCTTCTCCTGCTGAGCCTCAGTGGGTCCTCAGACCACAGCCCCTGCACCCTGCTTCCTGCCGCAGTATCCTGCTCATGGCAGTGAGGCTTCTTATGCTGCTGTAAAGCCCAAAATGCCATGTTGGTTCCAGTTTTGTAAGGAGAGATCTATGATCCACTTTTAGCTACATTGCATCCAGACAAACATTCGTTTTAAATATTCTGTTCTAGATTAGGCCATGAGTCCATCATCTGGGCCAGAAAGCAAGGGCTCTGCAGTCCTTTTTAGGTGTTTTGAAATGACAACATTTAAAAATAAGTCAAAGCACCCTAATGTCATTATTGGTAATCATTTAAATATCATAGACCTCCTTGTTTCATTAAACTACGAAGTGCTCAAAAGAAGTATCCATTTGAATTTTTTAGGTATATGGAATTTTTGAACATTTTTACATAGTAATAGAGGGTTAGGCTTTCTGCTTGTTTTTAATG